GTGATGGGTACTAAGGAGGGCACGTACTGCATGGAGTACTGGGTGTTATGCACAAACAATGAATCATGGAACACTACATCAAAAACTAACAATGTGATGTGTGGTGACTAACATAATAAAATTTTAAAAAAAACAAAAACAAAAAACTCTCGGAGATCTCTCACAACTTCGAAAGTGCAAAGGATACTTGACTGCTGATCCAAACTTAGAAAGGAGTGTACAGTTCACCACAGCACAGAAAAGAAGCTCACTGTGTATCCTAAGTTCTATGGTGAGATGCAGGCAGGCACTGTTCAAACCACTCTTGAACACGTAAATAAATACAGTTTTATAACTTGCTTCATTTCCACATACCTCTGCAACTGACAGAGTTTTTAATGTTTTGAGAAACATTTGTAAAGGTCATGGGACAATCATAACTTCCCGTGGATTACTAAGATCCCCTTGCGTGGTCTGAGCTCAGCAGCCATTTTCACAGTCCTGTATGAACGGCCATGCAAACCAAAGACTGCCTGTCCACACAAGTTTTCTCTCTATAGGCATGTGAAGGCTATTATATAAAAAATTCTACAAGAGAAATACCATAAATGCCAAATAACTACGGTCTCTAATAGCTAACTTAACTGGGAGTTAGAAAATCCCTTCCGTAGAAAAGAGAAATTTAATCACCACATCTGCTGTTTCCAAAGGCTCAGAAAAGTACTACACCTGTTTACCATTCAAGCTAGTAAAATTCACTGTTTTACCTGAAATTCAGTAAGCCTTAAACAGAAAATAAATCAACGGAACAGTTACTACAAAGAGCGCGCAGACCGGTGGGCATCACGACGATGTCGGGTATCTGCTGCACACGGGCTGGCTGCAGCTCCTCCCCAACCCCACCCCCAGACTTCTCCCTTAACAGGTCTGAGCAGCCAAGAGGGCCTGGGAATTCCATCCGGTTCCTGAGGATTTTATGCTGCTGGCCTGGAGACTACACTCTAAGGACCAGCGCATCTAATGCAATGCCGCTCACACACTGTGGAGGCAAATCATTTGGGGATCTTGTTAAACGCAGATTCTGAGCTGGTATGTCTGGAGTGGAGCCCAAGACCCTATACTTCTCAAAAGCCCCCAGGTAATGCTGATGCTGCTGGTCTGGGGACTATGCTTGGGGTAGCAGAGCACTGGGGATCTGTGAATAGATCTTTGAATCAAGCTTTTGTTAAATCTCAGAAAGTTTCTGGAGGAACAGAATGGATGAATCGTGTTTCCAGTACTTGTAGACTGGACATGGTAGTTGGCACGGTAACAACGGGTCTGGAAGGAGGGGAGGAAGGGGCTGCCCTGGGGTCCATCCCACATCACAGGACTGAAAACCAGAATCACACACTTGAATGCTGAAGGACCGCAGACGGGCAGAGGCAGTCTCTGCCACCGTCACTCCAGCTCCCCCCAAGATTTCCTGCTGTCTTTTACTCTCTGGTATGTGCCCCTTTTTACTAGTAGATATGCTGTAGTGATTTATAAAAGGTTATATTTCCTAGTCAGAAAAGAAAACTAAAGCCTTTGGACTTAGCAAGAGGAAGCTAGAAAGTAGAGCCTATATGTAATTACAACTTTTAGACACTGGCCGTGGTCACCTTGCTTACTTGGACTAACTAAGGCTGTGCTTCTGGGAACTCTGAGAATGAGTTTAATCTGGTTTCCATAAACCTTATTCTAAGCTCAACTGGGGCTCCTGGCTGGCTCAGTCCGTGGAGCGTGTGACTCTTGATCTTGGGATTCGTGAGTTTGGGTGGAGAGATTACTTTACCAAAAAAAAAAAAAAAGAACGAAAGAAAAAAAATATATGTACATACATTTCCAGAATTTTGGAAGAGTTCACTCTGCAGCAGCTGAAGAGCAGACGGTCTCTGAGATGCGTTCCTTCTAGTTAAGTGCTGGATATACTTGGCTTGCACGGGACACCTCTTACTGAGGGATTCAGGTATCTGACCACTTCTTAAACCTGTTAAAACGTGTACTCGCTCCATTTCTGTTCCAAACGGCTGAAAGAGCTCTAGCAGGATCACACCCAAGCTATACATATCTGACTGGAAAAGCAGGAGAGAGGTAATTTAGTAGTGAAACACAAAAGGAGACTAACATCACCATCCTCTCAAACACAAGATTTCTAAGACAGGCCAATTTACAGACCTTACGATGCAGGGCACACAGTGGGCAAGCTGACCCCTCGCAGAGGCAAGTTTCTGCCACCTAGAATCATGGCCCTGAGGGAGAGCTGTCTGGTACCATCGCAATCCCCATCTCTTCCAAACCAAGAAGGGCATCCACGGCCACAAAGGCCGGCCGGGTGAGGGGCAGGGAGAACGCCCCCGGCCCCATCCACAGTCACTATCATACCAGTGACCCCAGCACTCCCTGAAAATCCGGGCGTGGAGCAGCCTGAGCGAGAGATGGGAGCTCCCACGTGCTGGGGCCAGCTACTGGGGTCGGCGTCCCTGCGGCCTGCTCCCCTCTGCCTCCACACACGGCGAAGCATTCTGGTAAAGTTTAAGAAACTTCATAAAATCTGTTACTTTTCCTGAAATCGTTTTTCAAGGAAGGCCTTTAACCAGGTAGGATTTGAGGAAGAGCCATGGTCTCTTTCTGCCAGTTCACGCCCAGTCACTGAAAAGCTGAATGATTCATCAAAAGGAAGAAAATTTACTAGGCTGTTATTTTGAGAAAAGGATTTCCTTTAACATTCCTTCAAGGAACAAAACGGATTAGACCTTTTCACAGCCCGAACTGTGACGTTTTAAAAGGAAAGCTCATTTCAAAAATAATTTAGGACACCCATGGATTTAGAAGTGGTAAAGTAGGGGCACCTGGGTGGCTCAGTTGGTTAAGCGTCTGCCTTCGGCTCAGGTCATGATCCCAGGGTCATGGGATCGAGCCCCGCACTGGGCTCCCTGCTCAGCAGGAAGCCTGCTTCTCCCTCTCCCACTCCCCCTGCTTGTGTTCCCTCTCTCGCTGTGTCTCTGTCAAATAAATAAATAAAATCAGGCTCCCTGCTCGGCGGAGAGTCTGCTTCTCCCTCTGACCCTCACCCTCTCATGCTCTCTAATAAATAAAATCTTTAAAAAAAAAAAAAAAAAAATAAGATGGTGTGATAGATATCATTGTTGTCATTTGTGATAAAAAGAAAAATAAAAAAAAAAAAAAAAATAGAAGTGGTAAAGTAGTCTGAAAATCAGTGTAGTCAGATTTAGGTGAAAAGTGAGGTTTCCTGTTAATGGCAGTTTCATTTAACAGACAACCTACCCTACTCTGTTACCTCCAAAAACACCAACACGAGAACTTCCACTGCACTTACTGTGCTTTTTGTTACTTAGGACAGCAGACCAAGTCCAGCAAAAGGGGGAAAAGCAGCAAATACTACCTTGGCGTCATACTCAGATCCTTCCAACTGCTCAGGAGAAGCGTACAGGCAAGTACCCACTCTGGACGTGTGTGTGAGTGTCCCTGTAATTTGAAAAGCCAAATATTAAAACACCGCAGAGTTCCCACTGTCTACACTAAAGAACATGGACTCTGAGCAGGGTACTGTAGGGAACGATGGTTGCTTTTTGTCTTTATCTTACTTTTGCTATTACATTAAGTCTTTATGAGTCTCTTTAAATACTGACAAGTTCAATCATGTTTCTTTTTGTCTTAATGCCAAAAAAGAAAAGAACCAGAATATACTTACTCTTCCCATCTCTATCGATCCAGTCTGTGTTCTTCTGTATGATGTCTGTGCAGGCCAGACCAAAGTCTCCTATTTTTACTTGCTGATCAGAGCCATGAAGAAAAATATTCCTGGGCTGTAAACAAACAAGAACAACTCCTTGGTGTTCTTAAAACAGTAAAAATGGGGGCGCCTGGGTGGCTCAGCCGTTAAGCCTCTGCCTTCGGCTCAGGTCATGATCCCAGGATTCTGGGACTGAGTCCCACATCGGGCTCCCTGATCGGCAGGAAGGCTGCTTCTCCCTCTCCCACTCCCCCTGCTTGTGTTCCTGCTCTCGCTATATCTCTGTCAAATAAATAAATAAAATCTTAAAAAAATAAAACAGTAAAAATGTGTAGATGTTAAGAGATTTCAACTCAGGGGGCGCCTGGGTGGCTCAGTCGTTAAGTGTCTGCCTTCAGTTCAGGTCATGATCCCAGGGTCCCAGGATCGAGCCCTACATCGGGCTCCCTGCTCCGCGGGAAGCCTGCTTCTCCCTCTCCCACTCCCCCTGCTTGTGTTCCCTCTCTCGCTGTGTCTCTGTCAAATAAATAAAT